TAATTGATTCGAATTAATTGTATCGAGGTTTATCGATCGAAAGGCAGTGTCCGGGGACAATGGGGCCGAGGAGCGCGGAAGCCAGAGGCCCCGATCGATCTAATATCGGAAGTGCCTTTCAGCGGCGGGTATCCTCATCGGGAATGATAATGGAAAGGTGAAGAGAGAGACGCGGAACGCAATCGGGGAACTCGGCGAAACTTGGTTGATGGCCAGATAAAAGGGCGTCGACGGGGCTTAAAGGGGCGGGCCGGCGAGTTATCGCTATCGAAACGTATCGGCCCGTTCATTGGCTATTAAGATAAATACTGTGTGCCTTACATTACTCATCAAGGAGTAAGCGTCTTATTAAGAGCTCCGTTCGATCGGGGGCGCCCCGGCTTTTGGCCCGACGTTAATAGCGCCGCTGCGGAATGGCTTCCCGGGCCGTTCTTCGCTCCGAGCGGTAGCTCGTTATCTCGTTAACGATCCATTCATCTATTCTATCCGCCTTCATCAAAAAGGTCCGATCGCCGCGAAAGGAAGCTAAACAAGTTACTCCGAAGGACGATCTTCCGGGAGCCGAGTCGCCGGAGACGAGGGTTCTTCTGCGACGAGGCCGCCCGAGTTTACGTCCGAATCGAATTCTACTTCCCGAAGCCCGGCGCCCTTTTCCACGTTTATTCGATCCTCGAGGACCCTTCGTTAACGCCCCGGCGAAGGAGAATCCTTTCTCACCGATCTGGATTGCAGCTCTCAAGATTCGGATCATCCGACGTTCGATTCTCGCACGGAGGATTCGAGTCGACGCGGTCTTTCTTTTTTTTCCTTTTCCCCTCGAAAAAAAGAGTCCGATCCCCGGACTTCGAATTTCGGATGATATTTCATATCAAGGCTCCGGGCGCAGCTTTTTTTCCCCCCTCCCCGAACGAATCACTCCGGAATGCCGAAAATATCCAACGTCCCTATTCCAACGGACAATACTGTCCGTCGCAAGTGAACGCAATATCGTCCAAATTGTCGGCGCAGCTGTTTTTACGCAACGTCAAATGCCCGAGCCTTTGATTCCATCATAGAATTTTTTCCATCGCGCTATCGAAAGGTTCATTTTTTTTTTTTTTTTTTTTAGCGAAGTGCACTTAAATTTCGGGAATACGTCTGTTCCACGTGTCTCGCACGCACACGGAATCACAATATCGAGGAAAATTGTCACCGTTGCTCTCTAACCGCGAAACAGCGAAAGCTTTTATCTTGGATTCTAAGCGCGAAGAAGTTCCTGCGAGAAGCTTCTATAAAATGAATTAATGAGAACGAACGTTCGAAGGTGTTCCGGGAGACGTTCCGAGCACGAATATTCTCGTACTTTCGCGCGATATTTGGCCGAAGGTTTTTAGCATCGCGATGAAAGCGATGAAAGCGAATTAACATGGAGCCGGAAGATCCGAAATTCAGGTCCGCGGTGATGCCGCGAGATTCTTGAGGTTCGCAGTGATCGCGCGATTGCGCCGGAAGATTCCTGATTAGCATCGACCAATCAATAAATTACATAGGCGTAGAACTAGCACAGGAAAATTCACAGCAATGAATTGTCACCAATGCTCTAACCGCGAAACAGCGAAAGCTTTTATCTTGGATTCTAAGCGCGAAGAAGTTCCTGCGAGAAGCTTCTATAAAATGAAATAACAAGAAGGAACGTTCGAAGTGTTCCAGGAGACGTTCCAAGCACGAATATTTTCGTACTTTCGCGCGATATTTGGCCGAAAGATTTTTAGCATCGCGATGAAAGCGATGAAAGCCAATTAGCATGGAGCCGGGAGATCCGAAATTCAGGTTCGCGGCGACGACGCGAGATCCTCGGGGTTCACAGTGACCGCGCGACCGCGCCGGAAGATTCCTGATTAGCATCGACCAATCAATAAATTACATATCTTGGATTCTAAGCGCGAAGAACTTCTATAAAATGAAATAACGAGAGAGAAGGAACGTTCGAAAGTGTTCCGGGAGACGTTCCGAGCACGAATATTCTCGTACTTTCGCGCGATATTTGGCCGAAAGATTTTTAGCATCGCGATGAAAGCGATGAAAGCGAATTAGCATGAAGCCGGGAGATCCGAAATTCAGGTTCGCGGCGATGCCGCGAGATCCTCGGGGTTCGCAGTGACCGCGCGACCGCGCCGGAAGATTTCTGAAATCGCGGAGAAAAAACGCGTAGCATCTCATTTACTGGCGGTGGACCCGAGGGGAGGGGGGAAGGGTCGGCCGGCGGTCAGACGGGCTTTGCCCGTATTTCGCCGGTCTTTACCGAGCTTTCCGCGTGAAAGCTCTCGGACACGCTCGCTCCTCGACCCTCGGGATACGCGCGGCAGAATTTTTCTGAGAACGCGATGCATAATGCAGAAATTTGAAACTCGAGCGTGATCTCGTGTTCGCAGCCGGACCCCGGAAAGACGAGATCTCGCAATAACGGTGCAAATGAGGACCGAAGGCACCGACCTTTATGCAGGATTGCATTATACGTTCAGCCCGTTAATTGGGAAAATTAGTGCGGCGGAGCTGTTCGTACCGAAATATATAAAAACACGTCTGCCGTATTAAATTCTTAACGATGCGTTATTGCTAGGAACGCTGCTGTTTATCTGGAATATTTTGCCGTTTCTCGCGTTCGTAATCTGGGAATAACTGTCGAGCATGGCAATGCCATTGGCTCTAATCCTTTGTTCGCTTCGTATTTCTTGGTCATTTCCTTTCTTTGCGCACATCTTTTTCTTATAAACTGTCTCTATCTCTCGTCTATTCCTCTCCCGAGTCCTATTCTTTATCTGCTTTCCATCTCTTGTCCATATCTCTGCCCACTTTCTTTCGCGTTGGATTTTAGCATTGTAACGTTGCTTTTTATTTGGTGCAACGTGAAAAATATCTAATTGCAGATAGGAAAGGCCTAGCCGATTGAGATGGTCAAAATTGCTCTTAGAGGTTTTTTAATGAGTATTATACCATTCGGTAGCTGACCAAGAAAAACTCATCTGTGCAAAATTTCAACCCTGTAACTTGTCCGTGAGGGTAGTTACAGGATAAATTAGATTTGGGCGCTTTTCCACCTATTTCCTCTTTCGGCGACTTTTTAAAATTTTGAAAAAAATGTGGCTTATTTCGAACATCAAGTCGCATATTATAGAATTTTTTCAGATTTTTCGGTTGCAAGATGTGGATATCAAAAATGGAAAAAGAAGATAAGATAATTGAAGATATCTCGAAAAGAAAAACGCTATCCCACCCTGATAATAATTCCCTGATAAGATACTATCATAAGCAGTGCGCTCAATTATTCTTAGATTTTTCGTAGAACCGCGTCAAATGAAATGAAAACCGATTTGTCGCCTAAATCTAATTTACTCTGTAACTATCCTCGCGGACAAGTTACAAGGTTGAAATTTTCCACAGATGAGTTTTTCTCGACCAGCTATCAAACGGTATAATACTCATTAAAAAAAAGGACAATTGTAAGGACAATTTTGACCATCTTAATCGGCTAGTCCCTTTAACATTTGGGTCACTCGCGACCCAGCGGAAATTTTCGCGCGGTCCGATTTGTCGTCGAGTTGTACTACTTTCCCTAAAACTGCGTCGAACGTTCAATTTTTCAATATAAATCGACTTCAATTTTTCAAAGCTCTACAACAGGGGTGTCAAACTCGCGGCCCGCGGGCCTCATGCGGCCCAAGATGAACATTTTTGCGAGACATGTCAAGTATCAGGACGTAAACAATAATTTAACTTTATAAATGTTTATTACAATGTACTAGTCAAAATAAAAATATTTGTTTCTATGAACATTGATTTTTTTTGCGGCTCACCTAAAGTTAAGCATTGTTTATTTGGCCCGAGTTAGCTTTTGAGTTTGACACCCCTGCTCTATAACATTTTTTTCGCGCTGATTTTTAAGTAGTACAAGCCGATAATAGATCAGAAGGTCGAACATTTCGTGGAAAAATACACAGCCGCCTCTGATGCAAAATATCATTTAATCCAGTTCGCAGTTAATTCGAACATACAGAGTGATAAAGAATCCCGCGATAGTTCTCTATTTCCCACCGAATAATGTCCAATACTGCAATACCTTGTACTGCAACCTTGTACACAAAAGCGAGGAAACGAGAACAGAGAAATGAAACCTTCAGCGAAATTTTCAAAGAGTAAAGACGCGAGCGAGCGATAGACGTGATTAAGGGATAGAAACGGGTAAGGACGAAGGGACTGTACTAGGCGCAGGAAGGTGAAAGAATTAATGAGCTGGTCGGCATGCCGACTCGCTGCGAGCCTGGAAAAAACGACTAACAAAGTTATTTGAAGAGTTACTTCCTCTCCAAGTCTGGCATAAAGAACGGACACCAGAGGGAGAACATTTCCACGAACAATAACCCAGCGCAGGAATCGTTTCCTGACGCTTGTTTCTGTGTTTAATTATGCGAAATTTAACGGAGAACTCTCGCAGAGATGCGGCACAGTTTCCGAACAAATACGAGCGACTATTTTGACAGCGGGCCGGATCCTTCGAGTCCCGGGAGCCGCAGCACGTTCTCCACAATTCCGATGGATGATCGTGAACGGCGTGGGACCGACGGAGGCCCGACGTCGGCTTTCCGCGAATAAAAATCCGAGTCGCAGTCTCGGCGGCGACCCATCCAGGTTAAATTCGACAGCCTCGGAATCGCGTAACTTGTCGAGGATCGATCCGGTGCTCGCGGTGCATGGTGCAGAATGGTGCGTAACAATAGCAGAGAGGCCGCGTATCGAGGAAGGGGTTCGTTCGGGCCCCGTTGCGTTTGCGTTCTGCGGTGAAGACTATAGTCGCGTGTTTTTGTGCGTGATGCGTGCGCTAATGCTTGTGCGTGCTTGGTGTGCGCGTGGTGCGGCGGTTTGGTGCGATAGCGAGCAAAAGTCGAAGAAAAACACAGAGACACGAGAAACGAAAGAAAGAGCCGGGAGAGGGAGGGCCAGATGAGAGAATGCAAGCGCCTCACCTGTGCTCTGGCCACCACGTAGCTTCTGCTCTGGCCTCTCGACCCTCTCCTCGCTCGGGGGAGGTGGCCTCTCTGTCCTTTTCGTATTGTACGGGTTGTACGAGGAGGGCCACACGGTTGCTGGTGACGGCGTGCTCGGTTGTCCTGAAAATAGATTAGGACCTTTCTCATCTAACCCAGCCACTCTCTCGCTCTCTCTATCTCTCTCCAATCCTTCAGTTTCCTCTCCTTCCTCAATTCCCTGCTCCTCCTTTTTTTAAACGTTTCGCTTCTCTCGACTGTCGCTCTTCTCCTCTCCCTCTCTTCCTCGACTCCCCTCTCTCCCTCTCTCTCTCTCGCCCTAGCCGTCAGGACTCGTCAAGTGGCGTGACGTGAAACTGTTCCGCTAATTACTAGACTCCGCCGGCTGTTTACGCTCCTAATTCACGAATATTTATTCCGGCTGGTAAACGAGAACAAACTAGTCTCAGCCTCGACGTCGAGAGCCGAGGCGTTTGTTTCACTGTATCTTATTCTACGGGGAAGTAGCGGAGCATTGGAAACTAAAATTTCGGACGCTAGGATAGTGGAACCGGTTACCGTAGGGCGACCAATTACTGTGCCCTTAATTTTATTTAATTTTCTTATCGACGAATAAACGAATTAAAGGCACGCAAAAATATAACGTGTCTCATTGGACAAACGTAACGCTAATTATGCCTCGTTATGCCGTAATTAACTTTATATTTATCGAATAATACGTACCGAATTTTTTTTATTCGAAAGTAAACAGAAAAATACAGAAATTTAATAGGGCATATTCGATGTAAATGTAAAAGTTATAAATATAAAGTTAATAAAGTTACGGATACGAATATAAAGTTAAAATAAGTTACTGTGCCCTTAACTTCATTTAATTTTCATCTCGACGAATAAACGAACTAAAGGCACGAAAAATTATAACGTGTCTCATTGGACAAACGTAAAGCTAATTATGCCTCGTTATGTCGTAATTAACTTTATATTTATCGAATAATACGTACCGAATTTTTTTTATTCGAAAGTAAACGAAAGAATACAGCAATTTAATACGTCATAATCGATGTAAATGTAAAAGTTATAAATATAAAGTTAATAAAGTTACGTTAAAGTTAATTACGCCGAGAACAAACCAAACGCACAGCAATTTGGCTCGTGACCCACGGTAACCGGCTCCGCTAGCATAGCAAACGAAATAGGATGATCGATCGATCGGGGATCGTAGAATTGGTCGCACCGTGGCTCGGTTTACTTTCAGTATTTTCTACGAACGCACAAACATCAAGCGGTCTGTGAATCGTGTCAGCGGGGTCGTGAACTTCTAGAATCGTTAGCTACGGGACGTGACTCGATCTACAAGCTCTACGACGCCGGGGGAACGGGACGCGATGGTGACTCGGGGGAAAATTGATAAACTCCGTGACGCTTTCCCGATGCCTCGCAGAGGAACGTATTAGGCGAACCGCCGAACATACTTAAACTCGTCGAACCGGGGAAACTGCCGTCCGACTCGATAATCCGTCGAACTCTCTGCGCCAGACACTCGAAATTGTCCGGGCATCGATCGCGCGCGACCACGGCGGAAACGCTATCGAAAACAGGCCGGATGGGAGAAAGAATCGCGGGAGACCGATAAAAAGAGCCGCGAGTAACGCGGTAGTTTCTGCGGAGGCGTCGGGCGCGCTCGAAAGGAACGGAGCGAGGGAGCGTCGTCGATCGGCCCGTCGCCGACGGAACACGCTTCGAACGCGCTCGGGTCGGTTGTTTCGAGTGGACTCGGTGAAAACAGGCGGGCCGCGCCGTCGCGCCGCGCCGGTTTGATGAATTCCGGCAGCTTCTTTGAAAACGAGCCAACTTCTACTTGTTGCGTTCGATACCGTCGGCGGTTCCATTGAACCGTATCTCGGCCGAGCCGGAGAGGGACGCGTCGGGAGAAAGAGAAAGAGAGAGAGAGAGAGAGAGAAAGAAAGAAAGAGAGAGAGAGAGAGAGGGAGAGAGGGAGATAAAGACGGAGAATCGACGTTCCGACGGAGAAAAAGCTGACTACAAAGAGCCGGGAGGCGATCGTCTCGAATCCGACGGATTCCAAGTGCTTCACGCTCGATCGGATGCTCCTTTCTGTTTCCCGAAAGTCGTTGTCGAGCGGCCCGGGACCGACGGGACGCGTCCGTGGAAGCTCGAATATAAATCGTCCGCGAGATCGTCGGAGTATTACCGGGCTGCTGCGGCGGCACGAGAGAGTCGGGACCGAGTGAATTTGAAATTCTTCTGGAACGCGGTCAGGGATCCTCGAGCCTCCGCGAGGATTCAAAGTTCCGGCTCGGAGAAATACGGTCCTCGAAACCGCTTCGAAACTTCGGCTGTGCTTGCTCCTTAGCACCGACGCGCCGCGGTTTCCGAACCTGCCCGGAATTCGACCGTTTCGATCCTCCGAGTTCCCCCCTCCCCCTTTCCTTCATTT